GGTGGGCTGGCCCAAAGGGAGCAGGGGACTGGAATGGAAAGTGGTCTTTCTCCAAGCCTCACCCGAGTCCAGGCTTCATAAGTTACTAGGGCTTGTTTTTGCTCAGCCATAAGGAAAATTTGACTCAATATTGAAATATGTAAATTGGCAAGAAAACTTTTTCCCCTGGCCTCTTTGCTAATGTGTGTGGAGCAGGGACCCCCCAAAGAGGTGCAGAGCCTCCCATTTTACAAAATGTGATACAGAGGGGCTGTGACCCACCCAATCGGTGTCTCCATGTCAGCCTTATGCTGAAGCTTCATTTTCGTAAACCTTTGCTACTGTAATGGCTTTTTTGCTTGAGAACATCGTTGGCCCGTTTTATTGTCTATTTTAATACTATCTATACTAGAGCATCCTTGGTTCTGGGGTCTTCCCATTTTTAGACACTACTTCTTGATCTTTTAGTATGAAGGTCACTAATAATGGTGGCATTGCATCCCTGTTTCTCAGAAGGCTCCACCACAGTGTGTTCAACTCTGTGGCATGTGCAACAGGTTAAACTCATTTTCTACGTAGGACGTTAGGGAATTATCATTCTCATCCAGACATCAGGGACCTTGGAAATGACCAAAGTCAACTTGTCTATATACAGATGAGGAAGTGACGCAATGGTTCATCAAATTACTGGTTCAGGGGTTACAGGGCTTGCTCTTGCTGGGCTGTGGGCTGTTATTATTTTGTTGTACCAGCATTGTGTTTCTCTCTCATCTTTTATCCCAGGGTGAATAACCCGTATCCCTTCTCTCCTAGGTCTTACTCTCTACACACTTGAGTTATTTAGCATATCGACTTTTGGCTCCTTTTCAGTTCTTCCTTCCCTTTGAAATTATGGAGTCTGGTACATCATACAAAGTATAACTTGTTTATTTCTGTAGCAAAATGTGAATAGACACCCAAGTTGGATGGAGAATATAAATAGCCTCACATTAGATTAGATCAGATGCCACCAAATGAGGTGCTGTGAGATTTTGTTGTCAAATGAATTTAGAAAACTGCTTCAGTGCATTATGGATTGGAAATGGCAGTGGAGGGATTGCATATATGTGTGGTTTCCCCACTTAAAACACTTTTTAGGCTTTAATGCACATCTGTATGTTGAAGTTATAGCTTGGCAGTGCATGGAGCTGATCCCATCCTTGTGTTGTCTCTTGCTGGTTTCACTGGTGTGGATGGTGATGGGGAGGTAGGCTATCATGATCTGAAGGCATCAAGGAAGATTTATCTTGTTGTCTATTTTGTTGTATAGCTGGCACTGTTCTAAATGCTCTGTGGGTTATCTCAACCAATTCTTAAAGCAACTTGCTGAATTATTTCATGATGGTTTCCTTCTTAGAGGTGAGTCTTAGCGATGTGGAAAAACACAGCATGATGGCAAGCATTGCTGTCTGGCTTCATGTACATATATGCTGTGTCCTTCTTATGGTGTCTGAAAGGATTCAGAGCAGTGCTCCTGGGAGGGGCTTGTCTACACTGCCAGCCGAGGCCAGACATGGCAACTGCTGTAGAGTGTATCATTGGTGGTCAGTGTGTGTTCATACACTACTAACATCCAGACATAGCGGAATATCCTACCCTGGAGAATATGTGGGAATGACACAGGGAATCTTGATGAGTCTCTGTGGAGAAGCAGGTAGGGCTTCAGAAGGGCAAAACAAGCAAGTGCTGGTGAAGAATTCATAGGGAAAGGCTGGGGAGGAGGGCAGGAAGGAACCAAGAGCCTGAGGGAGGTTTTCCTATGAGCCCTCAGGCTAAATGTTCTTAGGCCTGCTAAAACTCCTACTGACAGTCTTGCTTTATCTGCATGCTAGTGGGGGCATTGCACCCAGTTCAACATCTAGAGAAAATGAAGTCATTTGAAGGTAAAGTCACTTGAAGGTGATTTTTTTGAGGTTTTGCCACCAGCCTGAAAATTTGCAGGTAGGTTTGAAGGGGAGTGAAGGGGAACCTGGTAACAACTCCCCCAAGACTCTAGTGTATTGAAGTAGAGACGTAATGCCACAGCAGAGTGGAAATGACCTAAGGTTTCTGTGAATACTGGCATTCTGGAACTTTGGGGGTGGTTGGTTTCTAGGAGGAAGAACAATGGCTGGGGTAGACAGGGGCTTAGGAGGACAGGACCCAGACTACAGGGCTTGTAGAGAGTAATCTAGGACAGAGATCTAGGTGTGAGTGCAGAGGAATGCAGGGTCAGTGAGACCATGGCTTTTTGTGTGTGTGTGTGTGTGTGTGTGTGTGTGCCTTGCCCCCCTTCAAGAGCCTGGCTGGAGCAGGTATGTGATTGAGGGATTCAAGGTAAAACTGGTCATCTCTGACTGAATGTGCCCAGCTGGGGCAATGCTAATGGATGAAGTTATGCAGATAGAGTCCATATTGCCTTATTTTCTTTTTTAAAGAAACTTTATTTGGAAATAGTACAAAGGTGTCTCAGGGATAAAATGGCCCTTCAGAGTGACATCTGGATGGATGGATACTCAAATTCATCTGTTATTAATGTTATGCCCCATTCAGCCTGTACAGTTATGCTATTTTCTATTTTGAACTACTTGAGGGTTACTGCCATGGACCTTTGCCTCTAAATATTTCAGTGTGTATTCCCTAAGGATTGGGATGCTCTCATACATACCTCATACTTTAACTTACTGTCTATATCAATTTTACTTTGCATATGAATTAGTGTCTTAAAATTTTTTTGATCTATTTTTGTATTTTATGTGTATGAGTGTTTTGCCTACTTGTATGTATGCATTCATGGTGCCTTCAGAGGTTAGAAGAAGACATCAAATCCCCCGGAACTGGAGTTGTGGATGGTCATGAGCAACTTTGTGAGTGCTGGGATCTGAACCTCTGCAAAAGCAACAAGTGCTCTTAACCACTGAGCCATCTCAAGCCCCTTAGTGTCTTTTTGTGTAGGAAAAGTTTTGTTGA